TTCAACTCACTAATTGTTCAACATGCTAGAATACTAACCAATCCAAGCATGAATTTTCCAATATTATGAACAATTATCAAATGACTATCTAGGCTCATTTCCACCGATTAAATGACATTCCTAGCATTTTCCATAACATGCTCTAAGTTCCATTCTTCCTAGAACATAGCTAATTCAACTACATTTCATAAAAATCCCAATTTACTATTCACAAACCCTAACTCATGCAAATTTCAAGGAATCATGAGGTTCAAGGGTTAGAATCTTACCACCAATGGTCACACAACCAAGGATTGATGGCTCCTCAAGCTTCAATGGAGGTAGAAACTCTCAAAACCCCAATTTTCACCAAAGGGCCGAATTTTTGAGAGGTAATATCTCTCTCCACAATGCTCCCCACTCAAAACAAATCTAGGATTATGAAAGAGGGCGAGATTCTAAGCGATTTAGGCTTTTGAATCACCCAAAACCGTTGGGATTTGCTCTCTCTCTCTCTCTTTCCCTTTTCTTCTTCCCTCTCTTCTCCCTCTCTTCTCTTCTCCTTTCTGTTGCAGTCGACGGCAATGGGGGGAAAATGGGGATTCTTTTGGCTTTTAGTCACTTAACATAGGTTAAGTGGCTTTAAGCGGGTATTGGTTCGTCTATCTATTCAACTCCAATAATTACCAAACTTTACCCAAAAGTCTGGAATATTATTCTAGGAATATTACTATTTTTATTTTTATATTTTGGGTACTTTTGCCAGTACCCATTTATACCCCTTAATTTTCACTGAGTACACTTTTTAACTACAAAGTGACTCAGATTCATTTAATTAAGCCTTATACTTAATTTCACTCACTAAAACATGTTTAATTAATTAATTACACTTGATTTACTAATTAATTAAGATGGGCTATTATAACAGACAAGGAGCGGCTCCTGACAAGCTTCCAGCGGGGGTTACATGCATGAATGAATTGAATCGACACCCGAAAGGGAGGGATTCCAAAGGCTGTGCAAGTATAAAACTGCACAGTTTGGGATAGCTTATAAGAATTAATTGGTACTACCTATGCTAACAAGATGCATCTACTTTTCGGTAGCCCGGAACGGAAGAACTCCATAGTTAAGCGTGCTTGACTTGGAGCAATTCTGGGATGAGTGACCTTCTGGGAAGTTTTCCTAGGAAGTGTGCGAGTGAGAAAAAAGCACACTGAAAAGTCTCGTGTTAGTATGTGGGGATAGTCATTGATTCTTGAAGCGGTCAGGCATTACAAGTGGTATCAGAGCAGGGCCTCTCTTCCAGTACGGTGTGGTTCGAGGACGAACCAGGCGGAAGCTGGTGGGCATGTAACATCCCGAGCGCTGATGAGAGCGAGGAGTGATCGCCGGTGCAAAGAGGCACGGACAAGGAGCGACTCTTGACAGGCTTCCAGCGGGGGGTACATGCATGAATGAATCGAATCGACACCCGAAAGAGAGGGATTCCAAAGGCTGTGCAGGTATAAGACTGCACAGTTTGGGATAGCTTATAAGAATTAATTGGTACTACCTATGCTAACACGATGCATCTATATTTCGGTAGCCCGGAACGGAAGAACTCCATAGTTAAGCGTGCTTGACTTGGAGCAATTTTGGGATGGGTGACCTCTAGGGAAGTTTTCATAGGAAGTGTGCGAGTGAGAAAAAAGCACACTGAAAAGTCTCGTGTTAGTATGTGGGGATAGTCATTGATTCTTAAAGTGGCCAGGCGTTACATGGTTCAAACAATGATGGACTTTAGTTAAAAGGGAGAAACTCCTCACCACTAAAACATTTTTTTTTTAAACTAAAGCATAATTCAAATGTTTGTTGTTTAGTAAGATACAATGTAACACCTCCAAATTTCTAATAATTTTAACAACAATAAAATATTCCTATAATAGAGAAATTTTCAAAAAAAAAAATAACATTTAATTATTTATTAAGATCTTATAACTATTGTGAAAGCTAATCTAAAACAAATTTGGAAAAATATTACCGCCGCACCTGTACAGGAACAAGTACAAGGCTAACTTTATTACATTAAAATAAAACCAACAATTAAAGTTAAACTGAAAGAAGCATGTCTTACGCATAAATAAATAAAAATAATAATTAAACTCTAGAGCTAGCTATAAATCTTTAAGTCATTATCCTCACAGCCCACTGTTAGCCCCATCCTTTGCAACTTGGCTTATTGAAAATCTGCTCTCCCGAAGGATCATTGCATCCAAATAAACATTAACAGTCAGCAAAACTGGTAATCCTAATCAAAACACAATTTATATAACTCAAATATAATAATCACATAATAATTGAATCAGATATTATACATTTTCTTTATTAATTTTATTTAATGGGAATAGAATCATGGTAGACCCGAATAACCTATTGACAGTCTACCCCGTGACCCAGGAAACCCTGTTGTCAGCCAGGTATAATCAAAATTGGCTATATCAAAATATAAATCCTAATAGGAACACATCTTCCCAAAGTTGCTACTAGTACCCCAGAAAACCCTATTCTCAGATACCACTTTGGGAAGAATGGAAACATCATTGTCACATCATATAATATCAAAGGCATAAAGTCCAAAGGTTGTGTTCATCACTTTAGGAGGTACCGTACCATCCCAAAGCTATCTTCCCACCATTATTTATTACAATCACACACAATCAATTCAATCGTGTCATAATTCTCATAATTGAAAAGTTTTCTCAAATAATTTTCATAATTTCCACATCAATTTAACTAAGAGTCACTACTGGAAAAGTAGCAAATAGCAAGGGAAATTTGCGAGGAAAAAATTCCCTTGCCAGCTCCGACGAAATTTGCAAGGGAAAAACAATTGCGAGGGAAAATAGGTATGATTTCCGTTACTACATTTCCGTCGCAGAATCCCTTGCAGTTCGGTCGCAATTCCCTCGCAATTTGCAAGGGAAATTTAATCCCTCGCAAGAATCATAATTCTGCGATGGAAACAGCGAGGGAAAAAATTGGCGACGGAAGCTCCCTTGCAAAATCTAGGATCTGAAAATTGCAACTGAAATTTTACAATTTCCCTCGCTGTTAATTCTTTTATATTTTTAATCTATATTCTATTAATATTTTATTTTAAACATTTAACTTACTGTTTTATAATAATGTATTTGCAGATGAGCTTAAGAGGATGAGGGTGTCCCACTCCCAGATGCAGGAGCAATTGCATGCTACGACAGAGCAGCTAACTCAGCAAGCAGACTTTATGAAGCAGCAAGCTGACATTATGAAACAAATGCAGGAACAACTCCGACTTTTAATGCAGGACAAGGAAGCCAACTGCAACAAGTCGAAGGGACCGGCGCCGGATGATGACCCTGATGATGATGATGACTTTGCTAGGACTTTAGAGGCATACTAGTTGTTGTTTGTATGTTTTACTTCTTTTAGGACTTCAGAGATATATCAGATATTTTTTGTATGTTTTATTTTGTTTAGAACTTTAGAGACATTTTAGTTGTAGATTTGATGGTTGTTGTTGTTCACTTTTGTTGATATACTATTTAATTTTAATTTAATTGTTTATCCAGTATTTTTTTGGATTTCTGTTGCTCAATTTATGTATTTATGTTCATTTGGTATCCTTGTTGTTTACAGGAAAATTAAGAAAAGTTTAATACATTTTTTTTTATTTTAATTCCAGAATTTGTGGCGGAAATTTTTAAAATTCCCTTGCAAAATTTGTAGCATTTTGCGAGGGAAAATCAAAATTTTCCCTTGCAAAATTTCGTAGCATTTTGCGAGACAAAATTTGTAGCATTTTGCGAGGGAAAATCAAAATGTTCCCTTGCAAATTTTGCAACGGAAATTTAATACACCCCTTGCAAATTCTGCTACGGAAGTTTGCAAGGGAAATTATACTCGATATTTTTGTCGCAATCTGCGATGGTAAAACACTGTAGATAGGTCTGTTATTTGCAAGGGAAATTTACTTTTTTGCAAGGGAACTTTTCCGTAGCAATTTGCGAGGGAATTTTCATATGACAAATTTCCCTTGCAAATCTATTTGCGACGAGGGTTTTAGCGAGGGACGGTGTTCCCTCGCAAATTCCGTCGCAGACAGTTTTTGCAAGGGAATTAGGCTGTTTTGCAAGGGAATTTTTTCCTTGCTGATTGTGAATTTTCTAGTAGTGAGTATAATTTCCAAATCAATATCATAATTCAAATATCTAGCATCTATCAGAGTAAAACTCAAATCCAATCGTCATATCAATTACTCATTAATTCTAGGGTATCAAAACCATAATTTACATGATTATTCAATAAGATTCATATCGCACATAATCAATTTTCCGTCGTTTTATCAAAAGTAAAATTTATACTATATATAATTCGTTATCTATCTTCTCCACTTATCACCATCAAAACATTAAGATTATTCCTAAAATAATTATATAATTAATCATGTTATTTTCTAAGGGTTAAAACCCAATAAAGTTCCCAATAATATTCATAAATAATTACCCTATGACTAACTAAAGGTTAGGATTATATATAATAAACTTCATATAAAACTAATATATTATTTCCTAAAGGTCAAGATAGCAACATTAAACAAAATATCATATAAAATTAAGGGCTTCGCATCTCTGTAGTGACTACAAAACTTTATTGGGTGCAGCAGACACAAGCAAGTGGGTCCCACTTGCTCTTTTTTTTAAAAGCACATCAGGATATGGAACCGTATCCTAGTGTTGTTGTATAAAATTTTTTTGCAGTGACAAGAAAGATATAAAACCCTAAAATCAATCTATTAAACCTAAAGGATTAGGAAACACCCAATAAATTCCATATAATAATTTTAGGGATAGGATATTGTGACACCCCAGTGATGTTACACCCATGTGACACCCAGTCAATCTCACCGTTAAATTAGGTTTTTGATCTAACGATCCAGATTTAATCCTTATATACACCCTCATTTCCCCTTCTCGCTCCCCTTTCTCTCTGATCATACTCTCTCTTTTCCCTTCTCTCTCATCAAACTCTCTCTCTTCCCTTCTCTCTTCCCTTTCTCTCTGATCCGCCGCCGCCGCCGCCGCCCATAGTCGCCGTCGTCGCGCCGCCCGACTCCACCTTCGTCATCCTGAGCCGCCCACTCCACCGCCTTGCCGCTGCCGTTCCAAACTTGTGCAGCGAATCATAGATTTCCAGATCCGATCTCAACACAAGTGTTTTCCTCTCACTCTCTTCTCTCCCAAACCCCATATCATTACATGGTAAAAATCAAAACCCTTTTTTTTCCCATTTCAGTTCGTTATATTTTGAACATCTGACCCACACTGCCAAATTTCTCTTGTAAAAGTTGCTGTAAATATTTAGGGGTTATCAATACTGTGAAATATGAATAGCATTTTGTTGTGATAACTTGAAGAAATTGTTTTTGTTTCACTTGCAAATTTTCATTGAAGATGATATATAAATCATCTTGCTTGTAAGGTTAAACTTCTTCCATGGCCACCACTTTCTATTCTCTAACAATATTTCTAATAGCAAAAATGAACTGATTATCTTACAATTACATACATAAACTAGGTGTGGAAAATGATCCAGAAAAAGATGGAATATGTTGAAGTAATAGTCTTGAAGGAACCAATTCATCATTTACGGGCACATGATGAAACAATTTTTGCAATTACTGAAAGCCAGGGAATAAAGGTGATTCTTCAATGATTTGTGACATGTAGCACTGAAACTTTAAAACAAAGTCACACACATATGTACCACCAAGTCTTCTCTATTATCTAGTTATACTGAAGTTGACCACAGTTTTGATTAGTTCAATAGAATTATTTATATTTTTTACCATTTGCAGCTAATTAAAGAATCAAGAGTGATAGGAGATATTATCAAAGGTAAGGAAGCAAAGTGCATGGCAGTGGCTCAGAGAAAGTTATACATTGGTTGCACAGATTCAAGCATACAGGTTAGTATTTTGTTGCTTGACATGCATTCTGGTACCAATAAAATACAAGCATGACATGATGCTTTATTTTAGGAGTATTCCACACCATACAACCGGGAAATAGAAATCAAAGCACGTACAAGGAGTTGGAGGAAGCAAAGTAAGCCCATCAATTCAGTTGTAGCATTATGTAGCTGATCTTTATATTTTGTGTTTTTCTTAAATATGTCAGATTGAGGACCAGGGTTTGAGCAGCAGCTTTTTTCTTTCATTTGTGGAGGAGGATGTTTGCTCTGAAATCTGTGTACTTGAGCCTTTACTGGAATTAAGTGATACTGATCAAGACATTTAAGGGAATGGAAAAATTAAAGCCAAAAATCAAGCCATGGAGTTCTCTGTGGACCATGATTGGTGTGCAGTAGTTAAAATACTACTGAACCTCCTGCTTGATGAAACTTTTTGTTGTACAAGGGAAAGGAATTGTTGTATTTTTTTGTATTTTATGATTGTTGTTTATAAGAAGCTATTGTTGTATTTTTTGAGGCATATTTTTGTCCTGTTTATCTAATTCGGTTGAAAAGGATGCTGATATAAAAATTTATATCGTACACATTGTTTCAATGTATTGAAAATTGCGTCTTTTTCTCCTTCTTGCAATATTTTTATAATTATTTCCTTTCATATTTTTATTCTTTTAGTTTCCATATAAAAACTGCAAGTACACATGCCACCTACACCTAATAAAGAAACCGTAGGATACTAGGAGCAGGGATACGATCATTCAATTTCAAGGTTTTTCTCAGGCTTCCTTCCATAGTGAGTGAGTGGTGACTTTGACAGTGAATTGACATTATTAAAAAGAAACATGGCCACTAATATAAAAAACTCAATACAAGAATAAACCAAATTACAAAAAATATTGTTCAATGATACAATATGTCTTATAGCAACTAAAAGAAATAATAAATTAAATGATAATCATGTAGCAAATGTCATGTAACCCAAAATAAAAATAAAAAAACTAAAGTCAATGTAAATTTTTCTCTCTACATGTACGCTTATTATGTCCTCGTTTCTTGCAATTTCCACAAATATCAGTATTCTTTGATGCTTCTTCAATCCAACTATGAATTCTACGTCCCTGTGAGATATTGTGTGACTCCCGTTTTCGACCTTTCGTTTGTGAAATGTTGGGATCATTCAATCTCATCATAGATGACTCTTCAGCTTGAGAACTCAAGTAATGTGAATCAAAATCCTCAAGACCAATACTATCATCAGGTCTTGGAAATTTTTCTAAAGATTCAGTGAGAGAATCAAGACCATCACAAGCGAATCTAGCTGCTTCGTTGGACCTATCTGCAAGCTCAATAAGTTTTGAAACTCTAGAGCGTATTTCAAAGCCGCGAAGGAGTCCCTCTCCATCAAAATTACAAATGTATTTATTTGTACTAATTATATCATTTTTTTCTTTGCTCCAGCGTCGCAAAATCATATGTTCAGGGATCTGCTCAACATTTTCAACCAAAAAAATAGAAATAATATGCTCACATGGGATTCCCATGAACTCAAAATACTGACAAGAACATCTTGCTTCTTTATTTTCCAACTTCATCTTCACAGTTGCAGAATAATCCTTCTCTTTCCTATTAAAAACTCGATAAGTAACCCACTCAGCATCATCTCCAATTTTCTCCTTAGACAGACGAAAATTATGAGAAAGCACATCACTAAACTTTGTGAAAATTGCACGCGTATAAATCTTAGCTGCATGTTCTTCCAATGGCATATTCAATGTTAAACGCCTTTCTTTGTGCCTAGATTCAAAGTCTTGTTTTTTGAATGAATCATAACGAGCATCTACTGCTTGATTATATTTTTCTACAAATTCCTTTAAGGTTGTGCCAGATGTAACAAAACCATCAAAGAATGAATTGATGCTTTCATTATGCTGAGTGGTGTTCATACCAGCAAAGAAAATGGATCTGTTAAAGATTGGTATCCAAGACGCTTTAATTGAATAAAGTGACTGCAACCACTCATTCTCATGAAGACCATAGTTATCAAGAATACGTTGCCATTTGTCTTCAAAATCTTGAGTGCTCTTTTTTGTATGGATACAGTTATTGAAATCGCTCTTAAATGTGGCATGTTGCTGATAGACATAAGACAATTTTTCTGGAAATTTTTTTGTGATGTGCCACATACAAAATCGATGCTTGCTGTTTGGGAAAACTTTGGATACTGCATTGGTAATTGACATGTCCTATAAATTCAATGACATATGTAAGAATACAATAATTAATAAATGAAACAATTGAAATTATGTACTTAAAATGATTATACCTGATCAGTAATTATAGCGCCCGGATGTTTCCCATTCATTCCTCGAAGCCATTCCTTAAATAGCCAAATAAAAGTATCTTCTGTTTCGTCTTTCAATAAAGCACATCCGAACAAGATTGACTGTAAATGATTATTTACACCAACAAAAGGTCCAAATGGCATTGAATACTTATTAGTTCTATATGTCGTGTCAAATGTGATGACATCACCAAAAAGCTCATAAGCTTTCCTGGACCTTGCATCAATCCAAAAAAAGCTTTCCATGCGATCTTCATCGTCACATTTAATGGAATAAAAGAAATTTGGATTCAATGATTGTTGTTTAGCACAATAGTTTAACAGAGCTTGTGCATCTCCTGTGTTATATATTCTTCTCCTCACACTTTTTAGATGGTTATAACAATCTCGACTATCAAATGATAACTCATCGCCTTTGAAGATGGTAGCCACTTTTCCTGTGGGCAAGCTTGCATCACTAAAGTGTTCAATCAACGATCTTGCAGCATTAGACATTTTTCTGTGTGATCTGAGATAACGAACACTCTTTGGAGTCACAAGATCATGATTATGGTTGTCGTCAAATAGTGTAATTCTCCACATTTTTGTGTTTACACTCTTATAAGCATTTACACTAGCTTCACACCCAATTCGTAATGATGATGTCTTCTTTAATTTGGTCTGACAAACTTGAGCAACATCTTTATCATTTTTTTTTGGTGGATGACCCTGTCTAGCACAAACTAGCTTGACGAAGTTGTCCCTCCTTGTTCGTATTCGAATTCTGAAACCTTTTACCTTGCTATATGCTGTATACAAGTCCACTACACCCTTTTGTTCGGAAAATTCCATTCCAACCTCAATAAAAATATTAGAATTCTTTGTCGGTGTCAAGGGAACGACATTTGGAATGTTATCAATTAAATCATTCGATATGTCATCTCCTAAATGAGTAGGCATCTCTTCTATAATTTCATCATCACTGAAGTTGATGTAATCTATTGGATCATCATCCATATTCAATAAGTCATCTCCCAATTCACCAGGCATGTCATTCCTAATTTCATCATTTAAGTCATTGTAGTCCGAATGGTCATCCATAATATACCTAAAAATTTAAAACCAAGAAATCATGTGTTCAGTGTAAGCAAGGTAAACTAGCTTTTGCAAAAATTAGAAGGAAAATTGCTATCCTACAAGATGTTTGCCCGTGATACAAAAGCTTCAAGAAATGAGTAAGTTCTTAATACTTGAATTTATATCTCTATTCAATAGAAATAGCACATACCAAATTCAGCTATGGCTTTTGTAGATAAGAGCTACCGACTATACAACTTGAGTCAGTGACAATGCTTATAAACAATAAAATTTAAAAACTTGACGCTACTGCATTTTGTCATTGTGAGAACTCTTTCCCTTATTGCATTGTAAGTAATGGCTTTTGGCAAATGATGCCTATGAAAAGAAGAATGAGCCAAGAAACAAGGTATCATAAATAAATAGAAGTTAGAATCAACCTCTCAGCCACTGAGTATTCCAACTATTATTCTTTATAATGTTGACCATAACTCATAATGATCACAACCACACGGTTCAACATTCCATGCCACTACTACTCTTCCATATTTTTAATGAAGGCATTGTACCCATGTTCTTTAGGCGGCGGAAATTAAAGTTTATAAAGTAAGAAAACCAAAAATAAATTATTGGCAAAGTTGATGCACCATAAAGCTAGATAGCAAGAATAATAGCATAACTAGTGAGGTCGTATTTTAGTTCAAAATAGCAAGGCAGCAAAGACCAACAGAATTAAACATCACAAACAAAAAATAAAAAGAAAAACTTATATGACTAGCAAGCATGTATAACAGAAAATAATATGCAGCACCTGCCCATGCAGTTTCAGCAAAGACACCGGCTGTTCTCAGCAAGGCTGAAGTGCACCTTGAAAATTTTCACAGAAAGGTCAGACTTACTTTACCAGATGCACAAAATTTCTGTCAAAGAGAAGCAAAAATTGGTATAATTAGGAGGCAATGCAGAAACTGGAGGAAAAAATCAATTTCAGAAAAAATCGTTTCTTTCTAATTTCTTTTTCTTATAACAGAATATTTTAAGAAACCAATTCTCAAAACAGAAAAATTTCATTGCAATGCCAAATTTCACTAAAATAATAAGGCTTTGATGTGAGGTGCTACTCACATCCATCCACGGTAACTGGGTTTTCTATCTAGATCATTGTCTCTCTAGTTTATGCAGGCTTCATAATCTCCAATTGTGAACTATTTTGCATGTGATAATTGAAGAACTTTCCTAATAAAGGTATAGTCTATAGAGAAGATCATGCAATAATTTCAAAACAACTCTTAAAATGGATTCAGCTCTCCTTAATTTAAGCTTGGCATTCTTCTCTTGAGTTTGTAACTTCTCATTCATATTTTTTCCATGCCCTAGGTTTGGTATTTTCTGAGCTGGGTCCTCCCGCAATTGCATAAGCCATTTAAAAGTTGTCAACAAATTTATTCATAAAAAAGAAGAAAGAAAAAGCTGAGTCATAAAGCCAATTTGAATCTTCGTTGCACAACATTATAGAGGGTTCAATACAAATATCAAGCTACTGTCTACGCATATACGCTTTGTCTTTCTTCCTAAAAGGCATTTAGTACTATATATCAAATTTACACAAACTAAAATCAGGAATTTCAAAGGTGAATCTGACAATACTTCACGTGAGCAAATGAAACTTTAACCTGACCTCATCACCCATATTGATGGTTATGACCAATCAAAATGAAATTTCAAAAGAAAATAAAATTGTCAATGTACCTTTCCAGTTTTGGTACCCTGAGATAATCACATTCCTGTAAAGACAAAATAGTTTTAATACACACACGTGACCATCAAATTTGGGAGAGAAAATTCAGCTGTACGTGACCATCTCTGATTCGCTCCACAAGTTTGGAACGGCAGCGGCAAGGCGGTGGAGTGGGCGGCGCGGGATGACTGAGGTGGAGTCGGGCAGCGCGACGACGGCGGCTATGGGCGGCGGCGGCGGCAGCGGTGGATCAGAGGGGGAGGCGCGGCGGCGGCGGTGGATCAGAGAGAAAGGGAAGAGAGAAGGGAAGAGAGAGAGTTTGATGAGAGAGAAGGGAAAAGAGAGAGTATGATCAGAGAGAAGGGGAAGTGAGGGTGTATATAAGGATTAAATCTGGATCGTTAGATCAAAAACTTAATTTAACGGTGAGATTGACTGGGTATCACATGGGTGTAATATCACTTGGGTGTCACAATATCCTATCCCATAATTTTATATAAAACAAATCAATGGTGCCCTAAACATCGGGATTACATCAAACAAGATTCATATCAAATTACCACATGACTCTCTACGAATTAGGATTACAAACAAAAATTCATACAAAAGATAACCTACAAATACCTAGGGATTAGGGTTACATATACCAAATATATAACTAACTTCTAGAAGAAAAATGATTTGGGAAGAGAAGGCCGGTTTGTAGCCAAAAGAAAAAGAAAAAGAAAAATTGAAAGAAGAAAGAGTAGAAGAGGATAAATGTTGACAATTAGAAGTGATTTGATTTGGTTAGGTTAGGTCTTTATTTATAGTTGGAGTTCTGGGCTCAGATATCGGTTTCGTACAATTATTTCCTTTTCTTCTTAATGTTTTTGTGGCTCAGAATATCGCTGACTTATTTGCTAACTCAAGGCTGCCTCATAATTGACTCATCATATTTAATCAAATAAAGTTTGTTGACTCATCGTAATCCAATCAAATATTACTGCATAAATGACCAATCAATTAATAATTCAATTAATCATAATTTATCATTAGTCCTAATTATATATATATATATATATATATATATATATATATATATATATATATATATATATATATATATATACATTATTATTATTATTACTAATTTATAATTTATTATTATTATTATTTGGGAGATTACATACAACTTGACATTAAATATATATTTATGTAGAGAAAAATATTTTTTTTAACCCTAGTGACATGATTCCAATGTTAAATGAATAGAACCAAGATCACATTAAAAAAAATTGTTTTGCGGGCAAAACACAAAAGCGGTGTATCACTAGAAATAATAAGATATGCATACCGAAAAAAAAAAAAGAAATAATAAGATATAATTTCATGATTGTAATAGGATAGACATAGTTAGACAGACTTTGAAGATACTATTTCGAATATTAGTATTTGATTATTTGACCATGAAAGTTAACTCTAGTGTTTTAAAACCCCGCTCCAGGGTTGACCCTTTCGGGTCACTGACCTCTCTCTCTGAGAGTTTGGGGTAGTAGTTAGAACTTACTTGCACGTTGACTTCTCTAACCCCTGAAACTCTCTGTTTGAACTCGTGACTCCTGGGTTAGAGGGGTCAAAGGGGTAACTGTATTTTTTTGATAAAAAAAAATTAACACAAAATGACGTCGTTTGATGTGTAAAAAAAAAAATTCACAACTGCCTAGATTTAGAAGTGGATCTAAAATATGAATCGTTCTTCTTCTTCTTTTCCGATCTTCTCTCCCAGACCCAGGCCAAGTCTCCCTGTTCAGGTGATCTCCTCCACCGTGTTGGTTTTTCTCTCCCCACTGTTAATTTGTCCTGTTGCCGCCTCTTCTCCGCTATTCTTTATTGGGTAAGAGATCTCCTTTCACATAGTGTTGTAAGTGCATGAGAAGGACAAGAAGGGTCTGAGTTTGATGATATAACTTTTCGTTAACTCCATTGGAATATCTATTTTATACTTTGATAGTTTGATACTTTGATTAGTTTGTGAATATTGATTTGTGGATGTATTTGGTTGAATTATGTTAATTATATTTTGAATGATTGGTGGTTTGATTTTTTTGAATTTTTCATATATAATATATATTTATATTTTTTTAATGTATTAAAATTAAAATGTCTCATAAGGCTTGTGATATGACTGAACATTAAAATAAAAAAATTCTTTCTTCAAATATTTTGCATAAAAAGAAAAAAAAAAGGTATACTATAAAGTCTTTTTGATGTAATACACTAGATGTAATCTAGAATTTAAAAAAAAAAAATGAATCTTGGTAATTTAGCTCCATCTTATTATTATTTTTTTCTTAAATAGAAGGTATTTTACGTTAAGAAATAGGCTAAGCATTGTGATAAGTAGGGACATATTTTGCTTAAACAATCCCACACTTTCATATAGTAAAAATTCACACTTGCCTTTTACCAAAAATAAAAAATAAAAATTCACACTTGCCTTGAAAAAAATAATCAAAATCCGCCCTAGCTCAACCCTACGCTTATGAATAATTTAAATTAAATTTATACAATATATAATCAATCACAATCCTAAAATTAGTTACACAACTTGAGTTAATGTATATAATGAGATACAAGCCCCCGGTATAGTTAAGACACAAGAGGAACCAAATAATTAATACAGCTAACTTTATTAATAACTAAGTAAAATATAATATTCATGCCATGTTCTCTTATGGGAACGAAAATTGAATGCGACTATATACTTTACATTATGTACTATGACTATATATTTTACATTATGTATTATCGGTAGTATACAGTATAAAGTATAAAAATTATTATTTTTTTCTCTAGGACAATTGTAGCTAATGTGACACATTCTTATTCGTCAGATATATCTGTTACCATAATATATTAGATTTTTCCCTCTTATCGGATGAGTTTTTTTTATTATTTAAACTAATTTAATCTGATTAGAATATTATTGGGCTATTATTGTTAGGAATACCTCTCCTAACATTAGGTGGTTAAGAAAAACAAATTCAATACTACTTGAATACCAATAGTTTAAAGAAAAAAGTTCAAAACAAACTTATGTTATTATTTTGAATCATTTACACTTTTATGCTATTTTTTAATCACTTAACCTCCTACGGTTTTTTTCATCCTCCTCCTTAACACTATTAGAAACTTGATTAAATATATCTATTTTACCTTTCTAAGAAGAAGAAAATAAAATGATAAAAGAAAAAAAAAATAACACCAAATATTATAAAAACTTAGAATACTTAATAAAAGACTAAAAAAAATCAAATGTATCTAAATAAAAGAATAGAATACCATACCAAAATAAATAAATAGAATAAGGATAAAAAAATAGAAGACAAAATAAGACCAAATAGATTAAAAATTACAACAGTGACAGAAAAAAATAAAAAATAGTCTAAATGAAAAAAATTATACTGAATAAAAAAATAGAAGAAAAAATTAAGATAAAAAATAGAACAAAAAAAATATGAATTTTATATATATTTGGTTTTCTTTTTTCTTTTTTATCCTTAAACTATGTCACTCTTTTTATTTAGATATGTTTGGTCTTTTTCATATCTCTATTTTATTTTCTCTCTTTTTTTAAATTGTTTTCATACAAAAGTCTTTAGTAAATAGGATGGCACAAGGCTACAAAAAAGAGAAGAAAATTAGAATAAAATAGACCAAAAAGTAAAAAATAAAAATAGAAAAAAGACGAAATATATCTAAATAAAAAATAATAAAATAGATCAAGGACAAAAAAGAAAAAATCAAATCAAATATATTGAAAACTCATAATTGTGATTTCTTTTGTTCCATTTTTTATTTTATTTTTTCTTAATTTTTTCTTCTATTTTTTGGGTTAAGTATATATAAATATTTTTTTATTTAGACTATTTTTTTTAACTTTAGTTTTTTCTATCACTGTTGAGATTTTTAACATATTTGATTTTAATTTTTTCTATTTTTTTTCTTTATTCTTTTGTTTTATTTAGACACATTTGATCTTTTTTTTTCTTTTATTACGTATTCTAAGTTTTCATAATATTTGATCTTATTTTTTTGATTTTTTATCATTTTAATTATCTTTTTCTAAAAGGGGTAAATAGGCATGTTTAGTTAAGTTTCTAACAATGTTAAAAAAGGAAATGGATGGAAAAAATTATAAAGGGTTAAATGATTAAAAAAATATATAAAGATATAAATGATTCAAAGCAGTAACACTGAAGTTTTTAAACTTTTCCCTAGTTTAAATCCTTATAAAATTGTAAATCCATCTCAAGCAAGTTGGGCAACCACAAGTCATATTAAGATTGTTAAGCGTATATTACCCGAAAAAAAAAAAAAAAATTTGTTAAGCGTATTAGGAAGCAATATATATATATATATATGAGATAAAACTTTTAATGTTTGAAAAGAACCAAATCTTGCTAAAAAACAAAGATGTAATTGTACTTTTAAAGTACCACTTTTTTTAAAGCTTATCCAAATATGCTTAATATATATATATATATATATATATATATATATATATATATATATAGGGTTTTATAAAAATTATGTTGTAAGAAAAGTGATAGTGTTATGTTATAGAGATTCGTTTTGCGTGCCGATTTTTTTTTTTTTTTTTTACTGCGGGCCCCACAAAATGTTGTGTGTGTAGAAAACTTTTTGTAATCATGTTAAATGATAGATGATAAACCCATATATATATGTGGGCTTACATTTCTCATGTTACATGAGAAGTTGGAGTTTTTTTTACTGAGAGAGAAAAGAGTGGAGCTTTGCAACTTCTCATGAAAAATTGGAGTTTTTCTACTGAAAGAAAAGAGTGGAGTCAACCTTAAAGAAAAATATAAAAAATAGAAAAGTAACCGAGACAGACATCGAAGTGAAGGTGATAAGAGAAAAGACTTCTCAATACAATTTAAGAAGTCTTTTTCCTCGTATATATTAAGGGTAGTATATAATTATAATATTACAGTTATTTTTTCTCACTCCACGTCAGCAATTTTAATATTTTAACTATGTAATACCTTAGTATATAGTTAAAAAACGATTGCAGGACAAAAAAAAAACTCATTTCTATAATATAATATTTATATTTCCCATATATATATATATAAAATTTCAAAGAAACACATCCAAAGACCAAAAGGAGCACATAATTTAAATTGATTTTGTAACATGTGTCTATTTGTGCGTGTGTGTTGTGTTCACAAGGAAGATAAAAGAAAACTACTCATGCAGTGTTCATTTACATTAAACACTTCACAGCCAATCCCTCCCTCCCCCTCAAATAAATAAAAATAAAAAAGGTAATACAAGGTTATACGGGATTGTAATAAGACCATGTATAGTGTGTCCGTGAATCAAATTACAGCAGACATCAGCTACCTTCTGTGACAGATTGCTAACTCTTGAAAATTGTGGAAGAAAATAGGCACTTCTATACCTTGATATGCAGTGAACCAATGCTGTAGCGAAAGTTGAGCTTCTTATGCACAAAGGACGATGATACTGCATCCAACACGTGTTCCTATATTAAACCTCATGCCAGTGTTCTTAACCATCCAAGCAACCGAAGCAGCATGGCATCCAAAACAGGTGACTTTTTCTCCAGGCCTGTTTGTATAAAAGATTCAAAATGAGGGTGGTAAAAATCCAAGCTAAAGATAAATTACATTAGAAGTCCTCCACCATTCTCAGCAAGAGCAGTTCAACAACAGTATATACCATGACATTACGATTTACGGCTGCGGAGATAGAAAATTTGGTGAGAGGGGACGAGGAATTCAAAATTCACAGTAGCTTAGGCATGACAACACAATAGTCGGTAATGGGTCGATACATAGCCAGATTTGAAAAACTCTCCAAGTTTTCTTCGTACATGACAAATAATAAGGATGAAGGGGGATAAACTTATGTTATATTACCTTTCTTTTACGTATGAAAGTATGCAAAAGGTTTGATAAACTTAGGGGGTGTAATTGCCCCTCTTAACCCCTCCCTAGCTCCACCACTGAATTAACATCCCAATATTCACAAATTCAAATAAGGTAAACTTCATCCCCGGTTCCAGAGTCTCTTCTGGCAATGTGTATTAAATATATGAAATTAATGGGAGCAAAGATACAAACTAAAATATAAATATAACACAAAAGTAAAGCATAAAAGAAAATTTCATCCAGCTAACGTTAAACAAATTGTGCATTCAAAGGAAAGCTCTAGCTTACCAATATCAGCAGCTACTCGATGAGCACACATAACTCCTGAAAAAGCTACTGCAATAACACCTTGTCCAGGGAAGCAGCTATCACCAACACAGTAAAGACCATCTATGCTCTGAAAGTTTAGTTGATTTGTGGCTTACTTTATTCAGTGCATTCTAAAAGTATAGCATAATGTTCTAGAACAGAACCTGTTATTCATTTTTGGAATTAAACTTACTGTGGTATTAAATGGCATTCCCAATAACCCCTTTGGAATTCTGCGTGGCATTGGTCCGTAGGTTCCCTCATTGCGAGCTAGGTATCGTTGGTGTGTCTTTGGTGTCCCTACCTACAATGGGGCTTAAAATTTCAGAAAACCATATACATAATAATTAAGACTTAAGAATCAAACACAAAAAGAAATTCTTAAAGCATTATATGTTGATAGCATCCATCAACAGATAATTCAAACATGTACATAATAGCAAGCATGCTTCTACTTTTAGCTACAGCCTTCAGAATTACTTGTCCTAAAATGTTTGTACTTTACATTCACTTGTACAAATTGTTATTTCTCAATGCCAATGCCAGTATGTCCCGCATAGCAAACAGAAAGGTTCTCCTGTTTGGTTTCAAAATCATTATTTCCTAATAGCCCTTTAATCAAGTACAAGCCATCCCACTTTCTTCCAGAATTTTTTTTGAGAAATCCCTTTGAATTATTTTTGACCGCTTCAAAATTCATATATAGTGAACTCATGAAAATAATTTATTCAATGGAATAAATATAATGGGGGAAAAACTTCTACAATAAAAAGGTGGGAAAGTATTCTACTCAAACAAAAACTTTCGCTGAAACTACAACTCCTCTTTGAAAGTGGGATTACGAGTATCTCTTAATGCCTTTTGGATTGAGAAATGTCCCGTCTACTTTCCAATCCTTAATAAAACTGTTTTCAAGCCGTATTTAAGGAAATTTGTGTTAGTTTTTTTTTATGATATCCTAGTCTATAGCAACAGTATGGATCAGCACTGTGAACACTTGAAGGTGGTATTGGATATTCTACGACAAAATCAGTTTTCTGCGAATTTTAAAAAGTGCACATTTGCACAAGGTGAACTGGAGTATTTGGGCCACCTGATTTCTCAAAGCAGGGAGAAAGCTGATCCACAGAAAATTGAGGCAGTACAGTTGTGGCCTAGCCCAAAGAATGTGAGAGTCTTGGGGGATTTCTGGGGCTGACGGGATATTATAGGCGTTTTGTGAAGCAGTATGGTCAGATTGCATGACCTTTGACGCAGCTGTTAAAAAAAGATAGTTTCTTGTGGAATGAAGAGGCCCAATTGTCATTTCAGGCTTTAAAATTTGAAATGCTGAAACTTCCAACTTTGGCACTTTCATGACACGTTTATTCTGGAGACCGATGCTTCAGGCATAGGTATGGGGGCAGTTCTGATGCAGGGAGGGTGCCCCATTGCTTTTCTTGGCAAAGCCTTTTCTGACAAAGACAAATCTCTTTCGGTATACGAGCGTGAATTGAAGGCAATCGTCTTTGTTGTTCACATGTGGCGTCATTACTTACTGGGACGCCATTTTGTGATAAAAACTGATCAACGAAGCCTCAAATATTTAACGGAGTAGCGTCTAATGGTAGAGGGACAGCAGAAATGGGTGGCCAAGTTGATGGGGTATGATTTTGAGATCTAATACAAACCGGGGGTTGAAAATACCGCTGCTGATGCGCTGTTTCGGGTAATTGATTGTAGAGCGCTGACTTTGGTCAACAATCCAGACCTGCAAAAATTATCTGACGAGGTTTTAGCTGATCCGACCACACACAATTCTCACTGAAGTGTTGATTGATGCAAATTCCCATCCTAGTTATCAAGTGTTGCAAGGCTGTTTGTGGTATAAACAGAGGCTGGTTCTTCCTAGAACGTCCCCACAGATTTCTGCAATTTTGCAAGAATTCCATTATTCACCATGGGGGGGGGGGGGGGGGGGGGGGGGGGGGGCGACTCAGGTGAGTTGGGGACCTTCAAAAGGGTGGCTGCTGTTTTTTATTGGGAAGGTATGCGCAAAGACATTACAGCCTTTGTTAGAGCTTGTGGGATTTGCCAACAACAAAAATACGACCACTTGAAACCGGCTAGTTTACTACAGCCGTTACCAATTCCTCAACAGGTGCGGGAGGATGTCTCCATGGATTTCATTGGCGGATTACCAAAATCTATAGGAGTGGATACAATACTTGTGGTAGTAGACTGACTCACCAAATACGCCCATTTTATGACACTGACACATCCTTTTGAGGTGGCAGACGTAGCTGCTATTTTTATGAGAGAAATCATTCATTTGCATGGTATTCCTCAGTCAATTATCTCTGATAGAGACCGGGTCTTTATGAGTAAATTTTGGGGGGAGTTGTTCAAATTAACTGGCACCAAGTTGAGATTCAGTTCTGCCTACCATCCCCAAACGGATGGCCAAACAGAGGTCGTCAACCGTACCTTAGAAACTTACCTGCGCTGTTTTGCTACGGGACATCCACGAGGTTGGTCCAAATGGCTCTCTTGGGCTGAATTTTGGTTTAACACTTCTTATAACAGGTCCACTCAGATGACTCCATTTCGTGCTGTATATGGGCGTGATCCCCCCACCATTATTTCCTTTCAACCTGGCAGTACATCCGTAGCAGCAGTGGATGCATGGCTGATTGCTCGTGATGCAATTTTGCTGGAGCTCAAACAAAATTTGTGTCAAGCACAACAAAGAATGAAGCTGCAGGCTGACAAGAAACGCAGAGAAGAAGAATTTGCAATGGGTGACAAGGTTTTTTTAAAAATCCAGCATTATAAATTGAAGCCTTTAGCAAGGAGGGTTAATCAAAAATTGAGCCCACGTTTCTATAGGCCATTTGCAGTCAAGGAGAAAATAGGACCAGTTGCCTATAGGTTGGAGCTTCCTTCATATTCAAAGGTCCATGAGATCTTCCATGTTTCCCAATTAAAGAGGGCTGTTCATCCTTCTATTCCAGTGCTGGATTTACCTCGCTGTTTGTCGGATTCATTGGAGCTTCAGGTTCATCCGGCTGTTATTCTCCAAGCTCGACGTCTGTTAAATGGACAAGTGGAAATTTTAGTAAAATAGTAAGAGTTAGCAGAATGTGACTGCACTTGGGAAAATCTATTGGACTTTCACACTCAATTTCCTTCTTTTCACCTTGGGGACAAGGTGAATTTTGAAGGGGGGTGTTGATGGGCCTCTCAAATCCTATGGCAAAGTCTTCACACGCAAGGCCCAAAAGGGAGGTGCTGAAGACAAAAGAGATTCAGTTAGAGAAGGGAACACGTGGCAAGCTATCAATGGAGAGGGTGAAATTGGAGAGAGGCAAGGAAGGTTGAGGGGATATTAGGCAGTTAGGAATAATGGGAGGGGTGTGAAGAATATTGTAGAGGAGTGTGGGTAGTGACAGTGAACTGCAAGGTGTGGTCCTCCGTGTTTGTTCTCCAATCGGATAGTCCATTGGGAGGAATTAGTCATCATCGTTGAGTCTTTTAATTCTTGTTATTTCATGTTTACTGTCCTGAGTTGTATCACTGATGAAGTGTATGACCCTTATTTCCGTTAATAAAATAGTTTTTCTTCATTGTGATTGCTGTTGAGTTCTTAATTACTGCAATTTATGTTTAATCATTACATTAGCATGAGGGAATTTAGGTCCACAAGCAGTGACATAGACTATAATTAGTTCTTTACAAGAAATATAATTCCAGATTATTTCTCACATTAACAGGAAAAGACAAAGAGCATTATTTTAAAACATGACACATCATTGTTCCAAATACCAGATCAAATACATAATTATGTATTACTTAAAGAGAGATCAATAAGTAAATGCTGCGTCAGATTAACCAAATTTTTAAAATTAAAACATTCCAATCAATGCAGACAGAAAAATTGTGTTTATATCATTGAAGTTGTGCTACTAAAGATGCAGTGCATTTGCACCACCTTGATATATTTTTAATTTGCTTTTACAATGTATAGAGTTGCAGAAATTCTGTTCAGTAATATGAGATCAGAGGTTATAGCTCATACCTCCATAAAACTGATGGATGATCTAAGACCTGGAAATAATTTCTTCTCTAATCTACTTGTGATTTCATCTGCTATATGCTGCTTCTTTGCCTCATATTCTACTCCTGAGAGACTCTGGTACAGAAGACAATGACATATTTGATATTTTGAAATTTTAATCATGCCCGAATTAGAAAACGAATAAAACAGGAGGCAAGAAAAAAATAAGTAGTTTCTAAAGTCATAGCAAACAAGGTGAAAGTTTTTAACTTTATTTATCAGTAATCACTACTCAGTACTGCCTACCTCCCAGTCCTCCATAGAAGAAGTTGTGAATATGTGAAGGATATGATGGCCTTCAGGAGCCAATGATGAATCAAGAACAGTTGGTATACTTAAAAAGATACTTCCATATGGCTCCTCCAATTTGGTCCAATTGTTCTAGAGAAGTGCCAATGAAATACATAAACTTGATTATTCATTCAAAGGCACTAAAACTATTAAGAAATCTAAGTTGAGGAAACTTCCAACAACCTCAAGCACAAAATGGTGACAATCTGTATCTACAGGCAAAACCTCGGCTTTAACCCCCATGTGAATTGAAAGAAAAGATGGAGCTTTAACATAAACTTTCTGGAAGTTCTCTTCCTCTTTTGGAAGCGGTTCTCCCTTTAGTAACTTTCCTGCAGTGTAACACTATGCAATTAAGAACTAATGAAGGCAGAGAAAGATATTAGAAGATAATCATTAAGAAAAATCTTAAAAAAATTCTTATTTGAAACCAACCAAATGTATCCCATCTGGTAGCATTTGATATTATGGTTTTGGCAAAGAACTCTCTGCCATCTGAAAGCCTTACTCCTACCTGCAAAAAGAATAGTTCAATTATTGAGAAACAATATGCATCTTTTCTACACATGTCATCCTTGTTTCTATTCTGATGTCTCACTTACGGCTTTGCCCTGCTCGATTATAATACCAGTGACATTTGCCTTGTAAAGTATCTCACTACCCTGATCAAGTAGACCTTTTGCTAAAGACTTTGCAATCCCACCAACACCCCCAACAGGGTAGTTAATCCCTCCAAAGTGTCTATCACATAGAACCTGGAGGCAAAAAAAGAGTAAAGCAATAAAGCAGGAAATAGAGTGCAAGAGAGAGAGAGGTGAACTATTAAACTGGCCACCATACTTGACAATAGTGTTTTTAATGTTTTACTTTTGACTGGTAGACGAATTCCTAAATTCAAACAGTGTTAACTATCACCCCTACATTTCCAAAGGTGCTTCTGCTTCATCCTTTTATCATTTTAGAATCAGTTATGAGAGAGAGAGAAATAACAGGTCAAAAACATGACAGATAAAAATGGAAGGATGACACTTACTTATTACATGCTTAATAACATAGAATTAAATACTAAAACATCTGTAGAGTTACTAGGATCAGAAGCAGTCCAAAGTTTAATCAAATTCAAGTCGGTTCCATTTTATGCTATCTAGTCAATAAATGATTTTTCCATCCATTGCAACTAACAGAAATGAATGGAAGCATGACTTCTCCTCTCCTAGACGTTTTCAAAAGTGCAATAAGAACATTACTTTAGCTTAAAAAATGCAAAAAGCTAAGTGAACAGATTACCATGCTAGCATTGATCATTGGAGTCTGCAATGCGTTGACTGTGCTCACTATAAAACACTGCAATACCAAAAAATTTATGGATGAAAATTACCAAAAATGTGCCAATAAATTGAATAAATAATGAATGAGTAGATGAGTAGTACTATTTCACACGAAAACAGATTTTACGAAAAGATACGAATATGTGGCACAGTTTGTTTTAGCCTCATTTTCTTCTATGGAACCCACAATATTCACCCTTAACGTCTTTCATATGACCCATAATAATCAAGTTCTCTCTCATTTAGTTACTCCATGTCATTTGTAACACATTTGGTAAAATTACTCTTCATGACATTTAACATTTTCCTTATCAAATTGGTAAACTTCTGACTGAATCAAATAAGTTGTTGCATCTACCTCTGCATCTATGAATGACAACAACTCTGGATCTTGAATGTACTTCCGAGCTATGGCTCCAGCATTTTGAGGCAAATAATAGGCTGCCACATAATAACATCATCAGAAAAGCTTATGGCCAAACCATATGAAAATATCGATAGAAAGCTCAAATATGGAGGAGGTGCAGAAGGTGGACAAGAACAACCCTTATTGGTAGGGCACTGTTATTAGGTATGTCATGCTTATTGGTTAATAGTGATTGTCCACCACATGATACAGACAAAACATACTAAGAATAATCATGGTCAGTAACATCCTTCGCTCTGTTCAAGACAAATCAAAAGTTCATCAGATGCTCACATCGATTGAAATCTTCATAGTGAAGGTTTATCATGAATCAACTATGTATGACAATTTGATATTTTTCAAGAAACTGATGATTTTCAAAGATTTCAGCAAATTAATCACAAATTCAGAGCCCACTTAGGAGATCAGTTGTGGTTTCTCTACAATGTTTGTTTGTCATACAAATTCTCCATCCACCCAAAAGAACTAGACTATGACTGCATGAGATGTTTCTCTAGGTCCAGGATGCCCTTATTCTGGAAGATAAATAATTAATTGCATGAGGAATTTCCATAAGCATCACTAACTCAAATCTTGTCCTAATCTTCATTGAAGGATATAGTTTGCTGAGTCAACTATTAATATATTGCTGCAATCAAGCAGTTAATTGTAAGTAACATGTATTTTAGTGATGTATTTGTCCCCATTTTCATCCTTTACTTCCCCCTCTATTCTTATTTTAAATCATAAGTTAATCTCACTTCTAAACGATAACTCCTCCCTATCCAAAAACTGAGAAGATATGCTAGGTGGAACATAACCAAAATTAACTTTGGAATTGAAGTTTAGAGTTCTAAATTCGTAGCCTCTCATTTCAAAATAAACAAATAGAATGAAAGTACCGAGTGTCAAGCATTCAAGCGGCTTCTGGAAAAACTGTCCAAAAAGGTAGAGTGGCTCCTCTAGTGACTTCAATTCCAACGAATTCAGGGCATTGAAAATCTAGCCATCACACATATAAGCTCTTTAAAAAATGAATTACAAGTAGAGGCAAAAATGCCTTAAGGGAGCTGAAGTCACCTCAATTAAGACAAACCTTCCAGCATTCACCATAGAATTTGAGGATACCCTCCTTTTCATGGGGAAAGTAACAAGTCAGTTCTTCAATGAATTTATCATATTCTCTGTGAACTCGAACAGAAAGGTTGTTTGGTAGATGGAAATGAACGGTTGTGGGATCAGGTATCACCTGCATCGGACACCCAACTGCTTCTAACGCTTGTGTTATCAAATTGAGATTACCCTACACAAATTTAAGGTACATGGTGGTTCATGATCCTTGGAGGCATACCATTCAACATAAGCAATAATTAAAAGTTAGTGTAGGTTGGGGTTTCATGGAGAGAGGTTATTTTGGTTCAGCAAACTAAGTTATTCAGAGCTTAATTGATCAGAACCAAGCTTTACATTAAGAAACTCATGATCATGGGATTTTCATTAAAAAAAAATACCTATCCTTATGCTCTTGATTCCTTAATTTACTTCTCATATGGTCTTTCTTTTATTCTACACTAATTAAAAGAGCGAACTAGATGCAGCCATTTTGCTCAGTGCCATTAGCTAAGCACAGTGACACTGATACTAACAAAGAAAAATGTTTACATATTAATAAGAAAAAAAAAAAACTATTACATATATAAATAGGTTTTATTTCTAGAGCATAGCTACCAGGAAGAAGCAGCAATGTCCCTCTCATAAGGCATGCATTCATATTCCTTCACTGTAACATTCAGCTCAATATATTGCTTGCAGTATTGACCATGACCAACCATATCTTATCACATCATGATAAATTGCAATAAAAAATAACACAACAAGAATCTCATTCACAAAAAAAAACAAAAAAAAACCTGACCTTATCACTGAAACCAAACATGACAGAAGAACCCACATCAAAAGTATACCCCTCCCTTTGGTAAAAACCAGAGCTTCCACCAGGAATCACGTACTTCTCCAAAACCAAAACTTTTGCACCTTTCACTGCAAGCTGGGTCCCTGCAACCAACCCTCCAATCCCAGACCCTATAACAATTGCATCAAACCCTTCAACACCCTTTACTCTCCCCCTACCTCCTTCACTCTCTACCACTTGTTCCACGTTCAGCGTCGATTTTGACAACACCCCTTTTCTTCTACGACCTCTTGCTCTTGAATCACCACTCCTCCGAGCATTGGAGCATGACCCAGATGCAAATTCACTTCCTCCACACTCTCCAAAAGCTAAACATTGAAACTTTGACTTCAAGCTGAGGTTTTGAAAGGTGGGTTGCAAGAGTGAAGTGTAGTTGGTGGGGTTGTAGGAAAAGGCATGTTCAGAGACTGAGAGCAAAGGGAAATTGAGCATGGTTAGCATTAGCAGGTTATTTTCCTGGAAAATGAAGGTGGAAAGTGAAAGCGTGTTGGGTTAGAGAAATTGGGAATGGCATGGTTGGTTGGGGATTCCACTCACTCATAAAATCGATTCCTCGTGAAGACAAGGACAAATAACGTTGTTTATTATTGGAAGTTGACAACGTTACGCGCGGGTTTGTGTCGGATAATTTGGGGTGAACACACGAAGGAAAACTGTGTATCATTTGGAAGGACAAAAATTGTCATTTTGAGTGAGAGAAAGAGACAAATTATCGAAGAGAGAATAAGTGAAAAAAGTTTTAAAGGCTTAAATCTCACTTCATTGCGAAGAGTGAAAGGATATAAGTTCGTGTAATTTAAGATGATATACCTTTTTTTCAAACAAGAAAGCCTAAAAATGTGTAGTTCCTAACGAAGATTTATGAAATACAGTAAAATTATTAAGAGAGAGTAATCTTATGTAGTTATTTTGCTTAGTTATGTCACACAATTTTATCTATATTTTTGGTAGGAATGTCACACTATTTTAACCTTCCATTAAATTAAACTATTAATTTACTTAAAATTAGTATGTCATGTACCATAAATTAGAAGACTCAAGCAAATAAACAGAAATAACATTATTACAAAAAAAATGTGTTTCTTATGTTACATGAGACAAATTGTCTTATGTAACACACAAAAAAGTGGATGAGACCCACCTTTTTCCTTTCTCTCTTCTTCAAAGTGGGTTCTATCCACTTTTTTGTGTGTTGCATGAGACAAATTATCTCATGCAACATGAGAAAAATTAAACCTTATTATTAATATTAAATCATCATTGGTTACTGTTATTACATTCATTTGAAAAGTCCCACACTAAGGTAGCTCTTTCTTACATACACATCATTATTGGAAAGTACAAACTTATCAAAAATAAATACAAGCTTAAAATCATTCTTGCTCATAAGAGATCCAGACACCAAGTTCTTGCGAATATCATGCACAAGGAGCACATCATTGAGTGTCACGATCTTCCCAGAAATCATCTTCAAAGCCACATTCCTAACATTTTCAACCTTTGAAGTAGATGAATTACTGTTGTGCAATTTGTAATCAATTAAATCTTCCACACAAATACGCAAGTGCACGTGTTACAAGTAATAAAGGAATGTGTGAGTCCAAGTATCGTTCCCACGGAGATAAGTTTAAAGTAATGATTATTTAAGTAAAGAAAGTAGGTAAAAGATTAATTTAGATGATTGGAAAAATAAAAGAGAATTGAAAATAAGAAAACAGTAAACTAAATTCAAAGGTATTAAGATGATGGATGAGATATAGGTCAGGTTCAATTTCCCTGATACAGCAATACTGAAATAATGCTTTAACGATGCTATATCAATGCTTAATTAGTAATCGAACACAAAAGTATGCTGGAGTTTTTGGCCAACCTAACATATATACCCAATAACTAATTCTCACATCTCTATGGTTAAACTAATTACTGAATTGTTCAAGTTCAAGTTCAAGGCTATGTGGTGTGAATGATCTCTCTACCCACAACTTAATCAAGTTATTCTTAACCTAATTAATCCACACAATTCAACAAGGGTCTGGATTCGGAAACCTCTCGACCCAAACCTCCTCAATATCACATATGTATCTCTCGACATGCATAAATGAATAAGAATAGGCAAACTCGTTGAATAACTAATTAAACATTAATAAAAGCGAAGTTTAGGCACACATCTCAATGTTATAGCATAGGTACTTTATCACCTAACATATAGAGCAAATTAGCTAATAATGGAATTAAATAAAACAGAGAAGAGGAAGAAAGAACTCATTGGAAAACAGAAAAGAAGGTGAAAACGAATGCTGTTGTAAAACTTTGTCACGGCCTTGCTCCAACAATGCTCCAGCGTCTCTTCTTCCTCAAAGAACCTTACTTTCTCTCTCTAAAATGTCCCCTACTTGCTTCTGACTTCTCGAACCTCGAACCTCTCTGAACTCTCCTCAAAAACTCCTAAAAATCGTCATACTTTGATCCTTGAGGGACTCCTCTTTTTATAGGGAAAGTGGTTGGATGATTAGGTCTTAGGTTTAGGAGTGAGATTCCTTGAATCGTGTTGCTGCAACCTTATCTTATCCCTAAATTATTGGGTTGTTGGCACTTGATTGGATAAGATCTTGATCTTCTTGATTTTCTTGTGCTAATGTTGTTATTGACCGAATGTGAGTTTGTTGTCCTTGTTCTTTGGAATTTTGGGATAAGATTCAATCTTTGAATTCGTCATTGATCCTTGTTTGTTGGTGTTTTATCCTTTTGTTGGGAATTAACTAACTTTTGAATTTCAAAAGTTCGGTTGTTCCTTTGTCCATGCTGTCATGCTGTAGCTCTTGCTATATCATCACTTCGTCAGCCTTCCTGCTACAGCATTCCTACGTCAATTTTTCCTGCAAGGATAAACACTTAATAAGTCATCTTTTCTTACACAAAATCAAGGAATATTGTCTCATTTTCCATACTTAGTCATCTCAAAGCACTTAATCATAAATATACAATAATTAGCTCAATTATCATGCAAACAATACAACTTATATGGAATTTATGCAGCAAATTCATCATAAAAATAATAAATTAACTCTCATTTGGGAGAGTTATCAATTACCCATATAGAGCTTCTCATAATCCTTCGTAGAAGTGTAGGAGGAGAACATCCACTTGTTTGTACAGACACGCCTGGTGGCACCAGTGTCCACCCACCACTCCTTAGTGTCTCCCACTAGGTTACACTCCAACACCATTGCTGAAAGTTCTGATCTTCAACTTTTTCACAAGCGATATCAACCATGTTGGCTTGAGTGGTCTTCTTCCTTTTGGACTTATATGTGGCTTCTTACTGTCCTTTGCACGGTGTCCAGGATTCTGCAATTGTAACAATTGCCCTTGAACTTTTTGCCTTATTTAGCATTTTCCTCTTCAGAATGTTTTTGCTTCTTCGACCTTGATCCCTCTTCAACAACATTGGTCCTAGAGACCACAAGATTGTTGCCAAATTTCTTTTCAAAAATCTTGTTGTCTACTTTTATCCTCAACAATCAGGTCTTCAGGTGATATCTCCTTACGCTTATGCTTGAGATAATTCTTAAAATCTTTCCACGATGGTGGCAATTTTTCAATAAATGTAGTAACCTGGAATTATTCACTTAGGTCATTCCCTCGGCATGAATTTTATGTACTATTACTTGAAGTTCTTCAACTTCACACATCACATTCTTAGAGTCTTCCATTTTGAAGTCTAAAAATCTATCCACTATGAAATTTTTCAAGCCGGTATCCTCTGTTTTGTACTTCTTGTCAAGACTTTCCCACAATTCCTTATTGGTGTTCAAAGTGCTATACACATTATACAAGGAATTGTCTAGACCATTGACGATATAGTTTCGACAGAGAAAATCAGAATGCTTCTATATGTCAACCGCAGCAACCTTCTCCTTACCAAGTGAATGGCGAGTGGCAGACCAAAGACGTGAAGTTAGTGCCCTACCAAAAGTACTTGACTCGTTTGATTGCAGAATTTGAAGAAATAGAATTCTCGCATTTAACTAGAGACAAGAATCGATTTGCAGATGCCCTAGCCACGTTGGCTGCGATGACCAAGCTGGATATCCATAGTGATGTCCAACCCATCCAAGTTGAGAAGAGAGATGAACCATCTTACTGTGCCAGTGTGGAGGAGGGGCCATATGGTAAACCTTGGTATTTTGATATCAAACAGTATATTCAGCATAGAGAGTACCCAACTGGGGCAAACGAAACCCATAGAAAGACCGTTCGCCGGTTATCGATGGCTTTTTTCTTGAATGGAGAAGTTTTGTACAAGAGAAGTCATGATGGCACCCTTTTAAGATGCGTAGATGCTCGTGAAGCTCATTCAATCATGATTGATGTCCATGAGGGAATTTGTGGGACTCATGCCAACGGACATATGATGACGCGCAAGATTATGAGAAGTGGATATTACTGGTCCACCATGGAGGCAGATTGCGTAGGATATGTTCGAAAGTGCCAAAAGTGTCAAATGTACGCAGATCGTATCAATTCACCGCCTTTTCCACTACACAATATGGTGTCTCCTTGGCCGTTCTCAATGTGGGGAATAGATGTTATTGGCCTAATCAATCCAAAGGCCTCGAATGGGCACCGTTTCATCCTGGTAGCAATAGATTATTTTACCAAGTGGATAGAAGCCTCATCATATGCCAACATTTCACAAAAGGTGTTTGTCAAGTTTCTCAAAAGGGATATTATTTGCAGATATGGAGTTCCAGAAAGAATAATCACAGATAATGCTCCTAATCTTAACGGCGCAGAAGTACAAAAGTTATGTGGACATTTCAAGATCAAGCATCACAACTCAGCTCCTTATAGACCTCAGATGAATGGTGCAGTTGAAGCAGCCAATAAGAATATCAAAAAGATCATTGCCAAGATGGTTGTGAGTTATAAAGATTGGCATGAGATGTTACCCTATGCTTTACATGCGTATCGTACTAACATACGTACGAGCACTGGAGAAACACCTTTCTCCTGGGTATATGGAATGGAGGCCGTCTCTCCGATAGAAGTTGAAATTCCTTCATTGAGGGTTTTGATGGAGGCAGAATTGGAAGAGTCTGAGTGGGTGAAAGCACGATATGAACAACTGAACATGATTGAAGAGAAAAGATTGACAGCTCTTTGTCACGGGCAGCTATATCAGAGCAGAGTGGCTAAAGCCTTTAAAAAGAAAGTCTGGCCAAGGGAATTTCGATTAGGTGATCTGGTCTTAAAGAAAATCTTTCCTAATCAAGAGGATGCTAGAGGAAAATGGGCTCCAAATTATGATGGCCCTTATGTGGTCAAACATGCTTTTTCTGGGGGAGCGTTAATTCTACAAGATATGGAAGGGCAGGAGTTACGAAGACCAATAAATACTGACGCTGTCAAAAGATTCTATGCCTAACAACAACAAAAAGGAAAAAGGAAAAAAGAAAAATAGAGAAGCATATTAGATTGAAAACCCGAAAGGGCGATCTAAGCAAAAATCGAGGCAGATAAAAAGAAATCTGTTAAGCT